CCTACAAATTGTCATATAAAAGAAAAAGTAAATCAAGTTTATGTTATTTCAGTTTTCTCCCTGTTTAAAAAAAATGATAGATAGAGTCTATGCTATCTGCATAAGAATGGGTATTCTCTTCTAATTATGCAAAATAAATTGATGAACTTTGCTCTCAAGCCAAGCAAATAGTCCTTAAACTGCAGATAAACAATAAATCTAGACTCCTGGGTACAGAAGCAGAGGCTTTGGAGAGGGTACTGGCTTTCAGACTGGAAGCTTCAGTTCTCTGAGCTTGCTTAGGATGTCACTGATTCACTCATTCCATAGGGGTGGAGAGAGAGGACCAAGGGAGATAGGTTTAATTAATCTTAAATATCTCTGCAATTTAAGAATTGTAGGCCTGGAACAGTTCCTGTACTAACATGATTAGCAAATATTGACTTTTGAATACAATAATAATGTGTCATCTGAAACCCTTGATAAGTAACTTAAGTACTTCCTTAGCTTGCATCTTATTAAATTAGAAGAGGTAGGGTTGAGGCACATTACACACAGACACTGAAATGAAAAATCAGACCTAAGGGTTTTAACATTGATTTTAAGAGAAGTAAAAGTCACAAAGAAAACAAGCAAGCTATGTTCTCTAGACAGGTTGCTAAAAAGTGTGTAATAATTTTCACAGCGCAACTGTAGTAAACATTCACAACTTGTGACTTCATCTTGTGACAGCTGTAATCGATCATCAGATTATGCATGATGACCATATAATTTTAGTTTTATGGAAGGTTAACTTACACAGACCATGCACTTTTGATGTTAAAATGTGGAAGAGCCATGTCTCACTAGCACGCCTATGAATATGGTAAGGATAATCTACCCAACTCCATTCATAAGGTTTAACTTTAAAATGTGTACAAGTTAAAAATGTGTACAGAAAAGAGTTAAAATATGTGATACTAGTCAGCTGCCCTCTCACAAACTGTAGTGCGTTGATTGGTTTTCAAAGACTGCATGGCATGTGTACTCTACTTACAATAGAATTGGAATGAGGAGAGAAAAGGCTCCAAATGTCATCAAAGCAAATGATCTGTGAATGTTGTTTCAAAGCTCGTCATTAGTTGCCAGGGTATTTGGTTGCAAAGCTTGTAAAGGGGCTTGTGGGGGTGGGAGGGTGAAGTTATGACAAAATGCACTTCTTGGCAAGACCTCCGCTCAAATAGAACCACACATTAATTTTTGCTTGATACATAAAATTAATTAGAGGATTAACATCCTTTTTAAAATTTTGCCTGCTTTTTATCCTTTTCTTAAAAAAAAAAAACCACCACCAGAAATAAACCCCGGGCCTTTTTGGTTCTCTAATGAAATTGCAAATTGACTTGTGTTCAAATGGTGCTTGGGTAAAATGAACAATTAAAAATGTATTGCTAACAATGAGATGTATCAGCTGATCTCTTTAAGGATTAATTAGTTCCAGGAACAATCTTTTTCACACAACAGAGCAAAGGGAATAAAGCCATTATGAGTGGATTAGAAGGTGTCAAAAAATGGGTTTTTAACACACTCATGTGTATGCATTGTGAATATATCCATATACACATGTGTAGGATAAAATCACAGATATGCATACAGCCATCTTTACAGTTAGACCATAAAACTCGGCTATACCATCCTTGGAGATATTTATTCCACCTCGGAATGACTCGACTGATGCTGATTAGTGATCCATTAGTTAGCTTGAAGGCAGCCAACAGATTTTACTGATCGTAATTTATCATTAAAGCAGAGAAATGCTTTAGGTATTTAAATAATGTATGCAGATAAATTCACTCTTATTTTTTTAATTACCCACCTGTACCAACCTTGTAAGAATCTTTGTCCCTGATCAAAAGTTTGCTCTCTGAGGAAATTTCCTCAGGTAACCGAAAAAGAGACGCTCTTTCCCTTTGCATTTATTAATTCTGTATTTCAACTCACCCCTTCACAAAATAAGTGTTAAAATTTAGGTTACATTTGCAGTGCTTAAAAAATCCTACAATGATCTCCACATTTGCCATTGTAGGTGAAAGGCTTATTGGCAAAAATGATATGATATCCCTGTCATTTATTTAGCAAAGATTTCAAATACAGTACAGGTAAATTGGAGTCCATTGAGCCCGCTGCAAAACTGCAGGGGAAAATGGACATTGTTCTCTTCTTTAAGACCTATTTCAATAGATAATGTTTTAGAAAATGTCATTTTTCTTAGTCTCCCCAAAGTCAGATCTTCCCCGTGCCAGCACTGTGCCGAGTCAGCCTCAAAGAGGATTTAGTATTGAGGCATTTGGTAAATACTGCTTTATTTTGCTCCATCCTCCCTATAGGGCATTCTGGAGAAATGAATACTAAGTGTGAGCAGGAAGAACAAGTTTCCAGTCCTGTCAGATTAATTAAACTGATGGAAAACGAAGCAAGGTTTGCCTTTAGGTAAGTTGAAAACACATAAAGAAAATCATTTGCGCAATCTGAACAGATTTTGAGAGCAAAAAGTCTGCTTGTATTTTTAAAAACTATTATGTGATACACGCACACACACTGGTATATGTGTAAATGTGTTAGCATCTCTGCATGGAGAATAGTGTGTGTTTCTACAACATACAGGGGTATATGCAAAAACTTTCATGGCAGGCCAATTAGAAAGAAGAATCACAAATAATACCTGCATCGTTAGAAAAAAGATAAGCATGAAATTTCTGACCTATGAATTGTAGGAGCAAACTCTATTTCTCCACTAAGAATTGTGTCAGGTTAGCTTACTGTGAGATTCCTGAAAGCAGGGGGAGCAATGGAACGTGGTGGTTGTTTTACCAGGTTTCAGCTGGGTGCCTCGGGCCCATACCTCCCATCGGCAAAGATGAGGAGAAGGAGTTACATACGAAGTAAGGTGCAGTTCTGAATGCAGGACCTGATGGGTCATTTAGACCAATTTTAAATGACCTTTTGAGATATATTTCCATATATTTCACTCCATTCAGGGAAAATTGATTTTGGTAATTGAAGTGAATCAATTTGTATATCTATGGACCATCGACTGCTTTGTACCACTCCCACAAAGCAGGCTGGCCAAGATTCCATGATGCCGATTGATATTTTCTTATTAAGATCCAAAGCGTCTGGCTGCCCTGACTCTGTTTCTCCGAGTCAAGAGGGTAGTGGGACCCTCGCAAGCATGGGTGGTGTCTCCTGCATGGGTTTAACATGACTAAACCAAAGTTTTCTCCTAAATCACATTAAGGCTAGCAAGTGAATGGGTTTTTGCAAAAGCCAAGAGGTTTTAAAACCATGTTTTCATGTATCCACTTCCCCCCTTCTATTTTACCTTTCTATGTACTGTACAGCTTCAGCTCTACTTTTCCTGATCTTTCTTTCATTAGTTCCCCTTCCTTACTACCTAGCATTCATCAGGGCTGTGGGGCCACATCTCAGGTACCTTTTGTCAGAGAAGGAAATCTATAATTGTCAATAGTCTTCTGTCTCTGCTATTTCATATCCCATCCTGCAGCATCTCGAGTAGAAGTCTGAAGCTGATTCCAAATAAGGAACTCTTCTCTATCAAGTTACTTTCCCAAGTGATGTTCTCATCTCCTATTTTTCTACTGTTTTGTTTTTTCATTGATAGGAAGACATCGGAGTCAGAATGCTGGGTTTCATTTCTCATGTAACTAATGGAAATATCTCTTGCAAAATGATAACTGTAAAAAAAAATCAGAATACTTATTCTGGCAGATGACACTGAGGTAGCTACAAAATACCTTTTGGGTGCCAGAAGATCTGTTTCAGCTACCCACTTTGCTTTTTCAGGGAGACTCAACTGTCCTTCACCCAAGAAGCAGGACATATCATCTCTCAAATGAAAGAAATTCATACCCATGATGAGTAACATTTCAATTAAAATTCATCATAAACAGCTGGATTTATATCTTCCCAGGACAATGTGAATCATTTTTGATGCTAGGAAATGCAGTTCATAAACTTCCATTGTCATCGTAGAATTTCTACTTCCACGAGAACTTGTTTTATATTAGTAAATAAAACATCATCTGACATTTTTGTCACTTCTTATGTCTTGGTGCTGATGAAAATAATGGGAATGCTCAGAGGTTATGGGACATTGTTTATCAAGGAATGTAGGTGATGCTACAAAGTATAAGTAATGCTCTACAGCTGGATGATTGATCCCTGCTGCATATTTTAAAGCTCTTTTCATTGCTTATCGAAACCTTTTAGGTAATGCACTCCTCTCAGATATCATTTTGTGTTTGAAAAGCTTTATAATTCATAATGAAAAGTTGCTTAGTTACCCCAACTGAATCCATAGCTTCAATTATTCTCTGTGCAAATGGTTGGACTCCATTTTGACCGATGTTTATGGTGTTTGGCAATTTTTCAGTAGCTACTTCACTCTGATATGATTAATTTCTTGCATAATACTCTGTTTTGCATGTGTGGAGCTGAAATAATCTTAGTATCCAGAAAGGAAATGAAAGACTTTGTGTATTTCAGTTTTGGAAATACTTGAAACATAACATTATAGTGTTAAGAGTACCAAAAATAATACCAGTTAACCTCAGTATAGACAACCACAAGAGACATGGATGTGCTGATGAGACCCAGCCCCAGGACAGCCAGCTCTTGTCTGTTCTGTGTCCAGTATTCTCTGCCCTAAGAGAACCATTTAGGAAAGAAAAGGGAGCTACAGAATTTACCAAATCAGATTCAATCACTAGAAAAATACTTGTACCTTTTTATAAATAGCTTTTCCTAAGATCACTGTGGGTCTCCTTCTTTGACAAAGTACATAAAACACATATGTCTACTTATTAGGTGGCTACCCATGAGGCTACTAGCCTTTGTGCAGAAGTATGGGGGGGTACACATGTGCCAAATTTATTTAAGAGCTACCTATGTGGTGACTAGCTGATCCTCTGACTTGAAGGAAATGTTTCTCTTCCCCATCCTTAAATGAGTATTACTTTCCTTACACTCTGGAATTTTTGCATTCTCAAATATTTCTGAACATCCTTTAATGTTTCTAGCATGTTGCTGGCCAGTTGCCTTAGAAAGATGCCTTAACCTCACAGTCTCAGTTTTCTCATCTGAAAAATGGAAATATACAGCATATTCTAGGAACACTTATGTATTTTATTTAACATTCCTACAACACTTCTTGAAGTATGGACCAGGTACCACTCCAAACTGTCACCCTGGATAGAATGAGGACCAAACATTCAAGGTACTAATAAGGTAGCTGCTATTATTTTCCTATTTTACAGAGGAATCAACTGAAGTACAAAAGCAGTAAGTAATTCGACTGGTGCTACATACCTAGAAAGTGTCAGAGCCAGCAATAAAAACCTAGTCAGGTTGGCCATAGAATCTGTACTCTTAACCACTATGGCCCGCTGCCTGTTACGATGGTGGCTGCCATTGTTACCATTCTGCTTGTCCTTACCACTCACATTATCACTGTGACTACAATCAGGGCCACCTTATATGCAGTGGAGGCAGGTGTCCCATATGGAACTAGTCACAGACAGAGCTTTACTGAGGCAAGTTCAGTTCTTTCCTTTCACTCTTCTACCTTAAAGCTGATGGACAGACATTGTCTCAAACGAGCAGCCCGAACCCAAAGCCATAGCACAGCTTCCTCTCCTCTGTTAAATGAGAAATATTTATGTAGCCTAGAGGCTCAGGGCCACTAGAAGCCATTGCATTGTCTTTTCTTTCTTCATTCTAAACAATACGTATTCTTGATATAATGTTGACATTTTTCCTCTTACTCAGTTATTCACCATTCAACATGGCTGTAAGGCAGCTTTTATGATATAATTCATATACAGAAAGAAAGCATATTGTTGTTAAAATGCAGCTCTGTCAGTGAGTCTTCAGTATGGACAAGGTGGAAACAAATTTTCAAGATGGAAATTTGCTAAGCCTTTCTTGGAAGCAAGAAAATGATATAAAATTATCACCATAGAAGAAAAAGGATCACCTGCTGAAGTCATCACTAAAGTTACTTGAAAGAGATCCTGACGTTTTCAACTTTGCTTCCCAGCAGATGTCCCTGAATGCAGTGGGAATCAGGAATTTCAAAGAATGTGGAAGTAACTTTGTCTAGCGCAGCAAGATGGACAGGACAGAATAGAAGGGAGTGTCAGTCTCCTATCAAAGGCTGTTGCTCAACCTGATAAACAAAGACTCATACTTACAAGCACAGATAATTAGGACCCAGTTCTTGGCAAAGCAAAATAAAACCGTATAGGACATGTCTTCATTTTGTTAAGCCTGATCAGGAAGAATAATTAAGTTAACATTGCGACAAATGTCACCACAATTCATTTCCCGTTGAGAGTTACCCACATCTAGAAAAAAATGGAAAAGCAATTAAAAATGGAACATTCCTGAAAGATGCATGTAGCTGTTTTTCCCCCTATTTATGTAATACTTGTAAAAGAACACATCCACTATACCTGTAATCTTCTGAGAATGACTGGATGCTTTTCTTTTCCACATTGGAAATATGTGAAGGTAAAGGCATGATGTAAGCTCTGCACTGGAACATGACCTTTTGTGTACTTCTATTTGAGACTAAATAAAAAGTCCCAGATGAATTTCATGAACTTTTTCTGCAACACAAAATAGAATCATGAATTATAATGAAAGGAAAAAAATATGATCAAATTTGGAATGTAGAATTTTAACTGAATTGCGTGAGGAAGCTAGTAGCATTTGAGAATTACGGGGGTGGGGGAAGTATAAAGAAGAAAGGTACAGACAAGATTTTTCAAAATTAAAACTCCAAAAGGAGACTCCACCATGTGGATGTGTGCACTGTAGAACACTTCCCATATCTAAAATATGTCTACTTCCCAGTTATAAGAAGGAATGCAATGGGCACATCTTAATAATTCAGTTCACTGGAATTTTTTTCTAATTCATCTTCCTGTATCTATAAAATAAGGTGCTTTAAAAGCTTCATATTTTGCACTCATAGGAAAAGAAGACACATGTATTGATAATATGAGATTGCTTCTTTTAAGAATTTGAATGTCAAAAGTATATGCTGTGCCTCATGGCCAGTATGGAAATGTCAAGGGTTTAATTGGCAGCTGTGAGTAGCAGCACCTGCAAACAGCTCAGGGCTTGTTCCTGTGGTCTGACAACATTCTTACTTTATGCTTTAAATAAAGGCTTACTCACTGGGACAGAAATAACTGACAATGGATGATTGATGATTACCCATCATGCAATGGCTGATGCCTACCATTCACCAGGTCTGTTTACTAGTGCATGCCCAGATTTCATTAACAGGGGCATGGCACACAGCGTACATACATGAGTGAGCCTGCTATCGATGGCAAGGCAGTCATCTAGGGCAGAGCACGTAGAAGATATCGAAAAATAGAGCATTGGGAATTCAGTATGTCTTAAGACAATGATTTTCAAAATTCTTTTTTTCCTTCTTGTTATGTTCTCTTGTGAAAATTTGGTTTCATGTTCAATATCAGAGTAACTTTTACATTTCTCTGACTCTTATTCCAAACTGACTTTGCATTTGAAAGATGGGCTATGAAGAAAACTCAAATTAAAGGTGTTACAATTCTGATTATTAATTTAGAGCACTCTGATATTCAGGAGGCTAATCAACCTTAGAATAAAGTTTACTGTTTCAATTATACCTCAAAAATGTGCAAAAAAATAAGTCCACAGCACATACAAATGACTAATATGCATTTCCATACCTGGATATCCATCTGTCCCCAGTGGGTATCTAGATATAACCAAAAACAGACCAGCAAAAACGTTGTATTGGAAAGAGCACTGGTGAGGCAAATCCTTCAAAATAAATACCAATAAATTCAAGCCTTATGCTGCTCCACAGCAGCTCCAGTTTCCTATATTCTACCATGAAACTAACACTTTTAATTTTTCTCCTGTAATATAATCCCCAAAGTTCCTTTTGCCCAGTTATAGTACTTTACAGTACATATCAGTCTTAGTACTTTTTTCCTCTGCTTAAAGCTTGATTTTCTCTGATACAAAGCTGTTCATGGCCAGTGACTGGCCTTCGGGTTGTTGTTGTTGCTGTTGTTATTGTGATCTACCTATTGCGCTCTGAGAGTTCCTACACCCAGTTTGAGCAAGTGATGAGCACATGTGGTAAGTCATGGAGTCTTACCTTAGAATTTTGCTCAGGGATCCTTATCGCTTCTGCAACTACTTGCAAACTTCATTCTATAAATGGTTGAATGATAGGCATCTCATTAGTCAAATTTGAATAAACAGCCAATTTGCATTTAGCCTTTTCTCAGTCTCCAGTAAGGAAAATAGAGCAGACATTACAGCAGATTAGCACTTTACACCTCAAGAAAACTGACCAAGCTAAGTCAAGCAGCTGGCCCCACAGCACACAACTTTCATTAGCACCGGAATCTCTGACCTTCCAAGACTCACGGGTGGCTCTTAGGGGATCTTCCCACTGGACTATTCAATTGGTAAGACTTACGGACTGCACGGTACAGACTGCTTGGTCACTGTCATCCCCTCCCAATATGAAACCAGAGAATGGTTACCTTGCCAATGTCCTAACTCAATCCCAAACTTTTCCTGAGCACCAGTGGACAAGGACAGAGTTCCAAACATTCGCAAAAGGCTACGCTTTTGCTGTTCAGCACATCCTTGCAAACACAGCGCAGGTCTACTTGCCTCTGAAATTGCTATCTTTGAATATGCATCCATCTAGACAGCTTTCCAAGCACTTTTTTTGGCTGTAAAATCTACTGTCTCTTTTTTATTTAATTGCACTCAGTTTTTATAATCACTCCCAGGAAGAGAAACTAATTATAATGTATCTCTGCATAGAGAGGCAGGTGTTAGCTAACACGCAAGGCTCTTGGTTTTAGTCTTCACAATTCATGCAGTCTAGCTTGATCTCAACTTTAGAAAAAAAGTTACCACACTGGGAAAGCTTGAGCTCGTCATTTCCTACGCTTTCCGTAGGTTTGCATGGGATCACATGAGATGATCCCATGACTGGAGCTGTGAGATTGTGAAATGAGAGAGGATTGTCAATAATGAGCGACATGGTTGTGATCTTGTACATAAGAACACCCAGTTTATTTCTAATCCAAATGAATAAGTCACAGAAAACAGCTTAAAAAATCATCTGGGTAAGCAGCCACACTCTGTGGTTAAACCTTCTCATTGAATCTTTTAGTTTTGTGCTTTTGGGCAAAACATTTAACTTCTCTATTTCTCTTTCTTCATCTGGAAGTTGACAGTGTATACCACTGGAAATGGAGTGTGTATATCAGTGTCTATGTGCAGGTTATTGGCAGGACAGTATAAGTTATGTAAAACATATCATAGTGTCTGGGGCATAGCTAGGTACACACATTCTTATTTTCAAGAAGTAATTATATTGCAAAAGGCTAACATTTTTGGAACAGTAATATCAACAGAGCAGGATTTAGAGAGAAATCCAGAGGTAAACTCCTCTAACAAATATTGATGCTTCAGAATATATCTGAAACAAGTACTTATCCTTGAGATAAGAAATGGGTTCTCCAGGACTGGGATCTCTTTTTCTTAGATATAGGATTCACAGCCAAAACATACAATTCTATCTGTAAAAATACTTCTCTACAGGTGTGTGTGTGTGTGTGTGTGTGTGTGTGTGTGTGTGTTGTGTGTCTGTGTATGACTTTCTTGTAGGTTTGGAGCTCACATAGGGCAGTATCATGTAGACTAAACAATGGAATAACTTGCTGAAATTCCCCCCTTCCGACTGGCTGTTTGGCCAAGGCTGGTTCTGGCCCAGTTCCACTGACTGTAATCCTTGGGATGCCCACATGGTGCCTCCAGGGGCATCATTGATTTTCTTGCTGGGAATCTGCCAAGCGCAGGGGTGCGTGATGGGCCATGTCACTTCCCTTGCTCTGGAATAAAATAAGATGTGAAGGCAGAATAGGGGTATGAACTGGCAGAAAGTCATGTCTGTTGATGAGTGATTAAAAGCAATGTTCCCTACACTTGCGTGTGCTACCCTTGCTCCAACGCCATACAGAGGTTCTTTGCTAAGTGTCAGGTACCAGTGGCTCAGTCATCTCTCTTACTCTTCAAACTCAGTCCCTCAAGTCTTGTTCCTCGTAGTTCGCATATCTATTTTCTCTTTTCCATCTCTGCTGCCCTAGTTAAGGTCTACATTGTCTTTTGTTTGGACAGTGCAGTTTGTTTTGTGCAAAAGTGACTTTCTTACTTATTTTGGGGAGGAAGCAAACACGCAAAACAATGACTAAGGAGAGACTGTCTAAACTAATTAAGGCAAAAACTTTGAGGACTGGAGGACAAGAGCATGTCATCGCCTCTCAAGATGGAAATCTCTGAAAGGCCTGTGTTGTTCTTCTTGTTGCAGTGGGGGGCCCAGCTCCTCCACACTCAGCCTCCTTGAGACTTATAGAGCAGAAAATTCCTCATAATTTTCATTAAGAACCATTCCATCAACAGGACCATCATTCAGCTATAACAGACTGCTCTGTGTGTAATGTTTTTTTCATCTTGAGCACAAATGTCTCTTCAATCATTTTTGTAAAGGGAGAAAGTAAGTAGTTATTCTGAAGGCATGTAAAATGCAAAGAGAGCAACCATGGATATTTAGGGAGCTTACAAATACTAAGTCCAAAACAGCTTTGATTTAAAAATTGACAACTGGCAAGTATACATCAACACCAGCCTCTAATTGCTTTTGGTGTCTTGACAAAATAAAAATGCTGTTTTAACGGCAGAAGAGCATGCCCAATGAGTACAAGGTTTTTTCCCTCAGAATTATCCACATTCTCGGCTCCATACGCATCTTTAGTACTGCATGCCAGTGACTGACACAAGACACTTTAATTTTCAAAATGGCTTTCCAAGTGCCTAAACATATGTTTATGCATTTGGCTATTGCATGGCCTTAGATGGAAAACACACAATTTTAAAAAGAAAAAGTTGACTCTGTGCATGGCCATGCCATGGAATAGAATGGAAACCAGAAAAGGAGAAACCTTGTGTCATTTCATAGGTAATGCAAAAGCAAAACAAAACAAAAACCACAACCCTTTGACGATTCAGTCTTGTTACAATGAGGAGACGATGCTGACATAAGAAAACACACTTGACGTTAAGGCAGCAGAGTTCTTCTTAATCACTGCAGGTCTAGACAGCTCCCACAGCTGTGTCTGCTCTCTCAGAATGATGTGCGGCCCCTCCTAGAGGGTGGTGTGAGCTCAGACGGGAATGTCAGCACAGGGTCTTAATTAATTTCCGTCTGCCTGGGTGTTTGTGTCACTATGGTTTGAATTTGCTGGGAGGCAGCTCAGCAGGGAGAGCTGTAGGTGCACACACAACACCTTGACTCACCAAACTACAGGGCGCAGGACTCCACCTATGGGGAGCGTATCCTCGCCCTCTCCCTGTCAGGGTATCCGAAGCTCTGCCTTCCCTTTGGGCTGGAGGACGGCCTTACGACCCACCCTCCCTGGCCTAGAAAGGGTCTCACCAGCTTAGCTGACAAGATGCACTTGGCCAGCGCTGCTTCCTGCAGTGTGCCTTGATGCAGTCATCATGAGGGCCTGAAGGTGAAAGCAGGAATCCCATCTTCTCTGTGCCTGATGGCTCTAATGTTTAACCATTAAAAATAAAAAAGGAATCCTTTCTCATTCCCAAACAGAGAACCCCCTTGTCCCAAGGGGATGGTAGTGATCCACATCTAATGGCTCTAAACACAGACATCAGAATGCTAGAAGGAATATGCTAGTGAAATGCATGGAACAGTAATCCACCAAGTGGAGGGCAGCTCTTTAAGTGCCTGTGCCTTGATTATTCATGGTCAATCATGAAGCTAGATCACATCTGACTCTACCTGAAGGCCACAAATCCACTTTCTTGGGAACTCTTATGACGTTGGAGATCTGTCTGGACCAATGCTTCCCAATTCAACTGTTAGGAGCCCGGCACTGGGATGGCCTGGAGGAAAACAGTGACAAAGAAGACCCAGCGTTACTCTCCTGTCCTCCGCCAAAGGGGTTTATTCTGCTGAAAGATCAGGTTTTCCATGAAGATCACCTTGAGATTTGTGGGGAGACAAAGTTGAAAAATTGCCCTGGATAGGAAAGTTATTTAAGGCAGGAATACAGTTCACAGTAATCTCACGGAAGGCAGGAACACTTGCGCAGAAACAATGTTTTGCTACATCTCCACTGAACACCAAAGCCGAACCATCTTCTGACAGATGGACTGTTGGTCACCTTCCCGTTGCTGACACAAATATTGATGGGTGAAACTTAAAGGAGGAGAGATTTGTTTGGGCTCAAGGTTTCAGCCCATGATCAGCTGGCTCTGAGGCAGAAACAGGACAGCCGAGGGGCAGGACCGAGGAAAAGGTGCTCAGCTCTTAGCAGCAGAAACCAGAGAGAGAAGGGAGGAGCAGTGGACAAGACTACCCTTCCAAGTCACGCCCCCAGGACCCCACCCCAACCAGGCCCCACCTCCTAGCAGCAGCTAGGATCAGTGGATGAGCCCACTGATAACTATCGTGCCAATCATGATCCAATCCCCTTCCACATGCATGAGAATCTGGGGGGACATTTTTGTTCTAAACCATAACACGGACACAATTTTTCAGAATAGCACCTCCTGTTCTTTCCAATGCAGTCTTTGGCCCTGGGAATTTGGAAAGCCGGGCTTTTATGCCACATTTAGTGGCTAAAGAATTCTCAAACGCTGGGATGCTCTCTAGAAGTTACTGCAGCATCATTAGTCCCCTTGCTTTAAAGCACCAGTAGAAGCAACATTTTCAAAGTCTTTAAGGGCACTTCTCTAGGCTTTAGTTCCTTGGTCAGTAAAATGATGTTGCCAGTGTTTCAAAATGATTTCTAAGGCTCCTCCGGTTCTGACCTGAGCCAATCTACGATTTCGATTATCAATCTCAGAAAATGCTTTATCTTTACTCTTCTGGAACTGTGGGAAGGATATGTCTTGTATAGTTAGGTGCTGAATATTTCCATTTTTCTTTAGACAAATGTTTTCTTCATGTGGAACACCTTCTGCAAATACAACTTGAGGCTATTTTGTTTTCTTTCTGGATCTGAGATGGATCCTAGGGGGTTTGCCTCCACATTCTTGTGACATACACAAACAAAGCGAGTCCTGGGAGATTTTCAGTTTTCCTACGTGCAACATTATAATCATCGTATTATCACTGTCACTGTCACTGTCATCATCATTCTCATTTTGCTTCCTCTTTCTTTTTTCTCCCCCCTCCTCCAGTTTTAATCTAGTAGGCCACAGTGACCTGGGTTAAGAATTTTTAAAATATAAATGGTCTAAATGTTACTCGGTAAAACAAAGACAAAGTAATTCTTCCAAATCTTTCTTCAGGCAGGCCTTATAGGGAAGGTTTTCTTTCCAGGGGGATTTGGATTCTCATTAATCTATTTCTCCTTTCAACAATAAAATGAAAAATGGAATGAGATTATCAGAATGGATAGCCTTGTGCAGACTGATAACATGCTTTTGAAAAGTGGTTTACAGTTGACATCAGTTAAGCTCGTTGGGCCAAAGTGTCTCAGGTCTGCTATGTGAGGCCTGGACTTCACTCCCAGCTTGGACACAAATATGCTTTATTGGTTACAAATGCCTCTCAAGCCAATTGGAAGGATGGATGAATTCCTAGTGCAGTAAGCATTATGTCATCTGTGGAACTATAAATATCCCTTTTCCCATCTTATTGAGCACTTATACAAAGATATTTTTTGGGCAGTATGCTTCCTCCATAACCTAGATATATATATATGTATTTTAGATTTTTATTCTTCTTACACATTTTTACACATAATATGAAAGGTATGCGGTATAAAGTGAACAACTTAGATATTTTAAATGTGATGCATCTTCCTTTATGCTCTTTGACATACATAATTATACAGTTCAATTGATTCTTATGGAAGGATTTTTTTTAACAATCGTAATGGAGTGGAAAGTCCTTTTTGCAGTTACAAGAAAAATGGAAGTTAAAATAAATAACTTACATGTTCAAATAATCCTTTCAAAGCAGTTATTCGGACAGTATAGAGTAGTCTAAGAAAACAACAAGCTGACAAAAACCTACTTTATAACACCACTTCACCAGCTATGAAGATTTCGTTTCTCCTTAAAAGTGAGATTAGCAGAAGTGACAGAATGCATGCTGTGGCAGCTATGACTGAGATGTAGGTGTTGCCCCTGTAAAGTGATTAAAAACTTCTTGATCACTCCAGACACTCTTCATCCTTTTGCGCAGTAAATCTGAAGCGCAATGCCCTTTTTTTCTGTCCTTTAATAAGAGCGGAACCCACTAGCTCTATACTGAGCTAAAAGCTTAGTTCTTATTAAGGTTAAAAGCTGCTGATGAGCTGGTAATTTTTCTCACAGCAGTCATGTACCAAGAATAAAAGGCAGTCAGCATACCAACTCAGCGTGGACCCCCGGACTCAGTGGATCTCAGGTGGGGCCCTGGAGCACAACATCTTTGAAAACAGTCTCACAGGTGGTTCTAGTGATCACATCGGTGGCCTAAATTATGACAAGCGCAGGAGAAGATCACGCTGTAGGTCTAAGTGGAAGAATTAATTCTAGAGCTATAGGACTGTGCTCAAATTCACAAACTCGATGCTTTATAGCTGCTGCTACATCCCCAGACACACGAGGATCCTCAAATCCATTTTCCGTGTGGCACTCAAAGGTTCCAATTCTGGAGAGAAGTGAGCAATTCAGAATCTCAGAGCATGAGCAGCAAAGGCACCCAGACCTCTGTACACAGCGACAGACTTCTCCTTTGGGTGGGAGTACATTTTGCATTGAATACTCCTGGCGTAAGCCAAGTTCGTGAGCAAGGTAAGAAGTGACAGTGAGTGTCAACTCTTCCGTCCTAGTTGCTCTCTTTTCAGTTTAGAGCCCGCCCACTGTTCTCCATTCTAGAGCCCGCAGGGAAGAGCTTTCTGGGCCAGCGGTTCCACTCAACACCTCCTCACCATTTGGGGTGGTTCTTCGGAAGATTTGCCTAGGAACTACAACCTTGGATTTATTCTAGAAGTCTAAATGTGGCATAAAGATTCCCTGACGTGGTGCAATACTGGGGTCAATAGAAGGGAAAAACAATTACCTAAGGGCACTCACGGCACAGCCTTCGGGAGGACCCATGCTGGCTACAGCTGCAGTTTCTGCTTTCTGTGTCAAGTAAACACAGCCCAACCAGTCCCCGCCCCGACCCAGCCGGTGCTCCACAGTCGGCAAAGGGAAATCACTGACTGAGGGCTTTCTTTTTAAGCCACTTTTCTGTACGTGGTAGACACCTTGCTGCATTGCAGCCAAAGTCCTGTTTTGTTGACCCAGAAAATTAATAAAATAAAGGCAAGGCAGAAGCGATGTTCCAGAGTGTGGCTGAGAACAAGGGTTTTAAAATGTTTTAAGCTAGTCTGAAAGGCATTTCATTGTTTCCATTACAGTAAGATGAGAAGGTACAACTTCGGTGCTTTCTACTTGGATCGTTTCTTGGCTGAAGTACTTGTAATTCTCACAGTATACTCCAGTGAGAAAGAAACTCCTCATTTCCTGACCCTAGGCAGTCATTCTTAAGAAAAACTACATTGGAGACTAGCAATTGTTTGGCTAATTAGAAAATTTGGTAATACTTTTTATTTAATTTGATAAATATATGCATAATTCAAAATAACCAAGGAATTGAAAATCTCCATTCTACTTTTTGCTTGACATAACTTTGTAAAAAGAATTCAAAGACTAAACATCTCTCTCTCCCTCTTTCTCCCTCCCTCTTCTTCTCTCTCTGCAGGGTGTGTGTGTGTGTATGTGTTTGCACAAGACTGAACCACTGAAGAGATTTGCCCAAGGTCACAGAATGGTTCTTTGCCATTTCCTTTATTGTTTTCCCTCAAATCCTCTTTTTGTAGTAAGCAAAGGAAGGGAAATGACGCTGGCTTCCAAATTTCATTATAAAAGCTTCCATTTAAAACAAAACGTATTGCATATTATAATTGCAACCAGAGCCAGTGAGGGCAGTGGTTTTCAACCTTGTAAGAACTGTGGGCTTGCTCAAAACTGCGGCTGACTTCAATGGGCCCTGCTGTCCTCTAACCAGGCTGTGGATAATAGGGCATTTTCAGAAAATAGTTACATAGTGCAAAACACAAACACATTTAATTGTCTATTTTGCCTTTCGGTTAACAAAATGCACATAATTTTCTTAACGAAAAATTATGGTAATAGTTCTGTGTCATAATAGTAAAGTGGTCTGTTTTCTCTGAAGTCCAAGTTAGAGTTTGTGTACACAAAACTGTTTGGAAAAATAAAAACATAACTGTTAATTAAAACCTGCTCCCCCAAACAGCAAACAGTTGGATTTTTTTAATGCTGTTGTTGTTACTGTTGTTTTAAATCTGATTATGGACGTAAGCACAGCTTCTATCCCTTTTCCATAGGTGTAAGGGAATTCAATAAATGTCCGCTATGACAGTAATGACAATTGATGTTTCATGAAAACTTTTCTGTGCCGAGTCTGGTGCCAACCACTTTATAGCCACTGATTTATGTAATTCTGCCCGGAGAGGAAGAAATTAGCATCTCTTTCTTGCAAAGGAAAAAACTAGCTTTTCGTGAAGAACTTGCCTGAGGTCAACCTGGCTGGGCAGCTGAGAAAGCAGGGAGTCCAGGGCTGTGGCGTGCGCAAAGGACTTTCTTCTGATTCGCATTGAGCTTGTGAGCGTCCTAATAGTTTTCCTCACTACTAACACTAATTCAACAAAGGAAACTTGGAAAATACGATTAAAAATATGGAACTCCATTAAATTAAATTCAAAATCTATTTTACCCGTGTCCATGAAACTTGTAGAAAGCACCCAGATCCTGAGGAGTTATTATCCAGCTCTTTGAACTTTAATTACTCCCAGGACTG